TTCCAACCAGTGTACTTACGGTTGTTCAGACGGCGAACATCTGCCTCCCATCCCTAACAATTGTAAATCCTTTTAAACAGTTGCACTCTGCCACTAGGTCCGAAGTGGTGGTAAACAGAGTGCAACGGTGGCTTCCGATGAACCCTTCCGTCGGATCGCTCTCCAAACGTTATACAGCCACTTCCATGGGAAGCCTGAGGCTTCTGGTTTTCCCCCGCCATTTAAAAAAAAAAAAAAAACCTTAGCAATATGCGCTCGGGCGAAGCTTCGCCCTGAGCATTTGTTTTTTTTAAAAAAACCTTTCTTTAACTTCCCTCCCTGGCTCGTCCGGATGAGTAGCTGGGGGGGAGGGATGGGGCAGCACCCCCCCCAGCCAAAGAGGGCAGCGGCAGCAGCAGCGGGAGGGAGGGGGCGGGGCCCGGGAGCAGCAGCAGACCCCCCCATCCCATCCCGCGTGCAGGGAGCACGCAGGGGGGCCAGGGTGTGTGCATGCTGGGCAGGGGGGGCGGCGGGTCCCTTACCCGAGCGAGCATGGCGGCGGGGAGAAGAGGGGCAGGGCCGCGGCCGGCCGCTGACCCGGATCCGCTTGGCAGGCCGTCCCTCCGTCCGTCCGAGTCTCCGCCAGCGGCTGCCAGGCCGACCCCCCGTTGACCGCCCAGCCCGGAGAGTTTGGCACAGCCTCCGGCACCGCGCCGCCCAGTCCAGCCCCTGCAGAAGATGCCGCGGCCCGGCCATCAGAGACCCCTCCGACAGGGGCCTCTGAGCGCGTGCAGAGCACCGGGAAGGGACCACGGCTGAGCCTCTGCCTCGCCCCACCGCTTCCGCCCAGGGCGCCTCTCCGCCTCCTGCCCCCCCAAGACCCAGCGAGGCGGGCTGGGCTGAGGGGGCCCCGGGAGCTGCCGGGCAGAGCGGGCGCTTGAACCCAGGGCCCCGCCGACGCCCTCTGACTACTGCGGCGCTCCAGCCCCACCTGCTTCAGAACTTCACGTGTGATCGCGTTTCTGCCAGCATAAACTGCACCGGTTGGAACCGGTGCAGTTTATGCCGGCAGAAAAGCCCCCGTCTGAACGCACCCTTACAGTCAGGAAGTTTCTCCTGATATCTAGCCAGTAATGACTCCCTTGTCATTTCCACCCATTAGATCTAGTCTTGCGATCCGGAACAAGAGAGAATAGATCCGCTCCGTCTTCTAAATGAAAAGCCCTTCAAATACTTGAAGATTTCCTGGCTACACTACACACACGGCCATACGATAATTAATTACTTGATTAATTGATTCTGATGAAGGGAGCTTTGCATCTCGAAGGCTTATACCTGGGAACTTTTGTCGGTCTCTGAGATGCTACTGGACTGAAATCTAACTGCGCAAGATGTAAAATCACATTTTGAATTTGAATTTTCACATTCAAAGCTAGACTGGAAAATTTGACAGATTTCTGATATTTGTGAATATTTAATTCAGCTCTATTTATTTGTGCATTTATACTCCACTTTTATCCCCGATGGTGGCTTACAACAGTGTTCCCCTCCTCTGTTTTATCCATATATAGCAACAGCCCTGGGCAGTCGGTTAGGCTGAGAGAGACTGGCTCAAGGTCATCCAGCGAGGTTCCATGGCAGAGTCAGCATTTGAACCTGGTTCTCCTGGATCCGAGCCTGACACTCTATCCACTACACCATGCTGCCTCTTTAATTATATGGTCACCTAGAGTCGTGATCTCTGCTGGGGATGGCTGGAAGGTGGGCAGAACTGGTACTGGTAATAATAATAATTATCATATGGCATCGTGTGTAGAATAGCCAGGTGATCCTAAGATTGTCTGGCAGCCAGAAGTTCTTGCTCTTTTAGTGTTATGCACCACTTGGTGGCGAGCTGGACTTGTTTTTTTTAAGGCAAGAGGCATTTCTGCGTCATGAATCTGGTATTCCTTGGAGGTTGCCCTTCCAAATACTAGCCAAGGCCAATCCTTCTTAGCTTCTGAGATCGGATGAGATTGAGCTAGCCTGGGCTATCCACGTCAGGGCGCACTACTGGTGTGCTGGCTTCACAAAAGTACTGGCCAGACCTTTTCATCAAGCTTTCCATGGAAGTCCCAGCGGTGTGTTCTGATCACTAGGGGCCATGATGTTTCCTGTTTTATATGAACAGCAGATCGATGCTGTCCTTTTGTTATGCTGGTTAGTCACTGGTTCTGCTTCATGTCTTTTCAGTTTGAAGGCTCCAAGCTGCAGAAGGATCTCCGGACATACTTGGCGTCAGTAAAAGGTAAAATCTGGGGTGGGGGGTGGGGGAGAAATAGTCCCATGCTACCATTTCTAGAACCTTTTGCTATAAGGTAAATAACGTCAAATACAACCAGCAATTGTATGCATCAAATTTACTCTTGGTTGTATCAACCAAAAAGTTGGTTTTGCATTGATGTTAGGCAACGTCTTGTATATGGTGAAACAATAGCAGGAAGTTCAGGGGTGGTCAGCAGGCCAAGGCAATTGCTGCCCCTCTCTAATCTAGCACAGAAACAACTCATCTCTTGAGCATGTGCCACATTGGTACAGTGTGCAAACAAGACTCCAGTAGCATTCACAGATGCTCATGGCTCTTGCTGTCAAGCTAATTGAGCTCTGGAGCATTTCTTGTTGCTTAGGAACTGGCATTTTTAAAGTCCTGAATTCCCGTGAGCAATGAGGTGGCTGGTGGTTCCTGATTGGGATCCTTTCTCCCTTTTTTTTCTGTATAGTACATTTGTCAGCATGTTGTGGGGTTTTTTTAAGTTTTGTTCCTGGTTGACGGAATTAGTCAAAATGGGACTTCTCTGGTTTCCCACCCCTGATATTTAATAACTGTACGGAAAATGAATTTGCTTTTTTTATTTCAGCCAAGCAAATTCTTTGTAAACTGTAGGTCTGAAAAATAAAAAAAAACCCAAAAAGTTCTCAGCTGCAAACTGGCTGCTTTCAAAAGATAGTTCCTTTAAACAATGGTGGCTTAAAAAAGAAAAGAAAAGAAAAGAAATAATCCATTTTGAAACAGAGATGGTATTATTTCTGATTTCTCGCAATAAAGGAAGAAATGTTACTCCCAGTGGCAACTGGTCTCTCTGTGTGTGTTGGGGATGGGATGTCTCTCTCTCTCTTGGGGTTGGGGATGGGATGTGTCCTCAGTTAACAAGAAACATGCCTCTTTCTTCCTCATGGGGAAGGGTGTTTGATGAGATGCTGCTGCATCATCACAAATTCTGAATTTCTCTTTTCTATCTCCAAGCAATGCATGAGGCTTCCAAGAAACTGACTGAATGTTTGCAAGAAGTGTATGAGCCCGAATGGCCTGGCAGAGAGGAAACTAACAAAATAGCAGAGGTGAGGAGCTATTCCATCACGAGTCTGCATCATTTACGTATGAATATCCTTTCTGTGCTGCTTGTGTATGGAGCTATAGTTCTTTAAGTAAAGAGATGGGCTGATTTGGGGTTTCTGGCACGGTGAGCTGGCCTATCGTGATCTTAAGTCTTAATCTTAAATCAGGGGTCATTTCGTAGAAAAAGAGGTGCAGGAGCTCATTAGCATAAATCATTAGCATAACTTATTTGCATATGCCAAACCCCCTGACATCCCCAGAAGTGTGGAATGAAGTAAACAACCATGATGTATTATGCCAAAAAAAGTCTCCAAAGACCAGAAATTTCTTTTTCCGATATTTCAGTTTACTGGAAGAAATTCAAACGCCATCAACACGGATCATGCATATTATCTCGTTTCATGTATAACTTTTACAAGGTGAGTAGCGTTGAAGTACATTATTAATCCATTTGACAAACTCTCTAGTAGTATCTCATAGTGACACTCATCAAAACCATTAGTGCTATACACGAAATGAGATAATATGCATGATCCGTTGTGATGATGGCGTTTAAATTTCTTTCAGTAAACTGAAATATTGGAAAAAGAAATTTCTGGTCTTTGGAGACTTTTTTGGCATAATACATCACGGTTGTTTACTTCATTCCAAACTTCCATCCCGTGATCTCTCTCTTTGTTTTGCATTCTCGGAAGTGTGTCAGAAGGCGGGAGAGCTTGTACCTGAATAAACCTTGGTCTTAAAGGTGCCATTGGACTCTTTTGGATTGCTAGCTATGGGGGGGGGCATGCAGATCTGCCCTCAGAGAGGAGGGAGACCTTGTACCTGAACAAGCCTTGGTCTTAAAGATGGCATTGGACTCTTGGACTGCTAGCTATGAGAGGGGGGAAAACACGCAGATCTGCCCTCAGAGAGGAGGGAGACCTTGTACCTGAATAAGCCTTGGTCTTAAAGGTACCACTGGACTCTTGGATTGCTAGCTATGGGGTGGGGGGAAACACACAGATCTGAGGCGAGAGACCTTGAACCTGAATAAGCCTTGGTCTTAAAGGTGCCACTGGACTCTTTTGGATTGCTAGCTATGGGGGGGGGACATGCAGATCTGCCCTCAGAGAGGAGGGAGAGCTTGTACCTGAATAAACCTTGGTCTTAAAGGTGCCACTGGACTCTTCAATTGCTAGCTATGGGGGGGACACACAAATCTACCCTCATAGAGGAGGGAGAGCTTGTACCTGATGGTGCATTAGGGCTGACTGGACATGGGAAAGGCAGGGAGGCAGATATGTCTGGATTCCCTGCCTGATCTTCTCCAGGTGCCCTGCAGGGCACCTGGAGAAGATTGGGCCGGGAACCCAGGGCATTTAAATCCCCCCCCAAGTCTCTCCGCGAAAGCGGAGAGGCTCAGGGGAAGAGGCAGACATGTCAGCTGCGGGGCACCTGGAGAAGATCAGGCAGGGAACCCAGGCAGTTAAAAAACCCCTCCCTGAGTCTCTCCATGGGCGGGGGGCAGGGCCTGGGCTCCTTACTGCCAGAGCGCTGTTCCAGGGTGCTCCAGCAGGAAATGACCCCTGATCTTAATCATGTGATTTTAAGTTCCCCGTTACAACAATGTAGGCACAAATGGGTCAAAGCACTAGCAGTTGGTAAAATCATTCAAAGTGCAATGCAGGCAGCACTAAACAGACACTTCTGTCTCTTGTTTCCTATCCACCACTGTATTGTGGACTTAGAACAATCTGATGTCACATCTGGGTTTTCCCTGGAATTGATGTCACAGCTAAAGTTATCACTATGCACTACAGGATTGTTGTGAGGATAATATGGAGGAGAGAAGAGTGATATAAGTCGTACATAATTTAGGGTTGCCAGGTCCACGAGCTGGAAGCATTGCCCCTGATGTGCCAATGTCAGCGGAAGTGACATCGTGTGCCATGCATACATTACCCAAAAGTAGGCACATCGGGGGGGGGGGACGCTCTGGTTTTGGGTCAAAACTCTATGGTAAAATCACCCGCAAACCATAGAATTTTGCCCCAAAACCAGAGTGCTGCCCCTGACATCACCAACATACCTATGTCACTTCTGGGTGGCATAGGCATGTTGCTCCATGTTACTGTTTTTTTGGGGGGGATTTCCTCCCACTGGCCTGCTGGTGACAGGTCCTGGCCCTAACCTGGTGGGACTCCCTGCCGAACAACATCAGGGTCCTGCGGATCTGATGCAATTCTTCAAGGCCGGTAAGGCAGAAATGTTCCGCCAGGCTTTTACTTGAGGACAGCAATGGGAGGTTAAGACTCTCATCCTTCTTTTCTTTTCTATGGCCTTCGCATACCCTTCCCCGCCCTGCCACGTGGGACAGTGGTGTGGCCGGTAAAGGGGGATTATTATATCACTATCTTGGATCTGTTTTAAATATTGATTTACTGTTGGCAAATTTAATTCTATGTTAGGCAGATCATGAGAGGGAGGGCAGGAAGGGTTGCATTAGTGCTTAGTTCTTGTAACCCTTTCTTACACGCCTAGGGAAATGGTGATCGCCACTTTGAGGTCAGGAAGCAATTTTTTTACAAATTATTCTTTTATTAGTATATAGTGACAAACAACATAAACGACAAAAAACAACACAAGCAAATGGATTCATATCACAGTTTGTTATATGTCTGCTCTGGACCGAACCATCTCCTTCCTAACTCTTCATAAAATATTTACATCTCTATACCTTTATCTCCAACCATTTGTAGAATTTCAACCAAAACTTTTCAAAAACACCCTCTTCTTTCCCACAAAGTTTCATTGTTAGGTTGTCCATTTCTGCTATATCTATCATTTTACCTATAAAACGGTATATCTTCTTGTTTCCACCCCTTTGCAAAAAGCATCCTGGCAGCCGTGAGCAGATGACTAATTAGATGTATATCTATTTTATCAATGTTATCAGGCAATAGATTTAACAGAAAAATCTCAGGCATCATGGGAATATTCACCTTGCTTTTTTGAACAATAATGGTATGAATTTCCTTCCAAAAACCTTGTGTTTTAGCGCATGTCCACCAAATATGGAAGTAAGTGCCTTTTCCCATTTTACAGTTTCAGCTTTTATCTGAAAGGTTGGGGTAAGCTCGTGCTAGCACTGCCGGGATTATATGCCAACGATGAAACATTTTAAAAAGGTTTTCTTTCAAAGATGTTGCTTTCAATTTTTTTCATATTCTGCCACATTCTCTCCCATTTAACCAATTTGATATTGTGCCCCACATTTCTGGCCCAGCTTATCATTGAGGATTTCACTACTTCTTTAAATCTAATTAAAAAATTATAAAACGAATAACCTTAGTTCTCTCATCCAGCAGGATTTTGTCAAAATCTGAAAGTTCTTGGTTAATTCCTATCTGTTTAGCTTTCACCAACCTGGATTCCAGCTGGTTCCTCTCCCACCAGGACAGTAAAATCCCTTGGCTTTCTAACAAATCACGAGTTTAATCATTCCATTTTTATCTAATAAGTCTCTATATGTAGTATATCTTAATTTGGCAATCAAATTTGGGCTAGAGATGGCTTCAAGCGGAGCTACCCATACAGGTATTTTGTTATAAAATAATTTTTTCATCTGATTCCAGGTTTTTAATAAAGCTCTTCTCAACCAGTGATGGTTAAAGTGTGTGTGTATATTTTGCTTAGCATGCCACAAATAAGCATGGCCATCCTGCACCAAGATCATGTCCCTCCAGCTTCAAAACTCTTAAGTCATTTAATTGGGCCCAATCACGTATCCATATCATGGACGCTGCCTGATAATATAGCTGCCAATCAGATAGTGCTAAACCTCCTCTATCCGGTTTTTCCTGTAGGAGCTTAAGTTTAACTCAGGGTTTTTTCCCTTGCCAAGTAAAGTCCCTAACCATTTTTTCTAATTGGCGTATAAAAGTCAAATTAGTCAGCACCGGAATATTCTGAAAAAGGAACAACACCTTGGGCAGGATGTTCATTTTTATCACCGCCACCCTACCCATCAAACATAGTTGCAGTTGCCAGGAAGCAATTTTTGTCCAAGCCAGTTTGGCTGGAGATCCTGGAGGGGTTTTTTTTGTCATCTTCTGGGTGTGGAATGGTGGTCACTCCGGATGTGGAGGGGGAGGTATTTCTGAATTTCCTGCATTGCGCAGGGGGTTGAACTCGATGACCCTGGAGGTCCCTTCCAGCTCTATGGTTCTTTGATTCTATTATTGTATCTTAAATGTTTTATAAGACTGTAAATTGCCCAGAGCCTGCTTGCAGGGTAGGTAATTTGTAAATTTAATGAAATAAATAAATAGATAAAACTGGGGGATTCCCCACCCCAACTGGGGACTGGCAACCCTAAAATAAACAAGTAAATATGTAAACAAATTAAACTGATGCTTGGCTGCATAGATACAGCTTAATGTAAAATTAATGTAAAATTGGCTGTAAAATGGCCAGGTTATGTGAGGCACTGAAGAAATCATAGCTAGGATTGCCTACTTAGCTTGGGAGATTCTTGGAAATTTGAGGGCCGTGCCTGGGGAATGTAGAAAGGTGTCTTTGGGGTGTGTGATGCCATAGACTCCACCCTTCAAAGCCACCATTTTCTCCAAGGGAACTGATCTATGTCATTTTCTTTATTTATTCATTTACAATTTTTGTTATCCCTCCTTTCTGCCCTCACAGGGGCCACCAAGGTGGCTAACAATTAAAAAAAAAAAGATTATAAGATCATGTTTTAAAACCATTAAAATCACCCCCACACAATCATTAAAACAAATTAAAAACAGAGTTAAATATATATACAAAGACATTAAAACAGCAATGAGAACATTGATTAGAAAGGAGGGATCACTGTAGGACTGCCAAGTCCATTTTAGCCCCCAGCGGGGGACTTTGGGGGGCGTTCTTGGAGGGGGCGGGGCATGCCCGACGTGATGACATCACATTGGGGACGTCTGCCCCCCCACCTGATGGGTGCACGGGGAAACGTCAGCTCCCT